CCAGGCTCCTGTACCGGCCGAAAACCTTAGGGGGGCCCCCATAATCCCCACAAAACCTTTACAGGGGCACTGTCCTTGGCTGAAACGCTGTGGAAAGTGACGCTTTGCATTTTTTGCCCTCTAAATCATTATTATCGTTATTTTCTCGTGAACCATTACACACGGGGACATGGCACACTCAGTGAAAGCCAAGCGCCTTGGCTGCTGTGGCCTCCCATCCCTTCTGCTCCTCTTTCTCGTCCTCCTCCTCCTCATCAAAATCCTCATCCACGCACGACTCATCGGTATCTCGTTCTACGTCGGTCTCGTAGTCACTGTCACTAAAAGCCTCATCGTCACTAGTGGGGTATGTTGCTTGTACAAGTACTTCAATCTCTGGGTCGGTCGCAACCTCCTCATTATCATCCTCTCCATATGGATCCAAATTAATTTTGCTAACGTCAGAAAACAACTTGTGAATAATGCCTGTATAGCCCTTACACGAGTAGATCTCAGCAGCCTGATCAATCAGTGGCTTCACCCCGGTATCAGCAGCAGGTCCCAACATCCCCACATGAAGCAGCGAATCAACAGTTTCCAGCTTTAGCCGGTTCGTCAGGCGATTCACAATAATACAATGCCGGCTAAATCCGCACTCAACGCATGCCGTCTGTGTTGGCAAGATTGTAGCGACTTGAGCCAAACACATCATACGAAGGAGATGGGCTTCAGCACGCAAACTCACCCTCGCTGCCTCCCAAGTCACCCTGCCAAGCGAAATGTAGTAAGCAAGACGTGCCTTCATGACATTGAACTCCTTTAAAACGTTCGGCAACTCATCAGGCTTAACCTCGAACAGGCGGTGTGGATTCTTAGCAGAGCAGAAGTGGCTTAGCAATGCTAGCAGATCACCCTCACCAAACTTAGCCCCCTCTGAGTCTGACATGCCTTGATACGTGGCAGAGTCGAAAATGCAGAAAGAGCACAGGAGAGCTGCATCAGCAAAGCGCTCATCCAAATACGACAGAACTAGTGTTATGAAAGTGCTGGCCATGTCATGTAGCTGCTTCTTGTTCACCTTCCCCTTCAACTGTACGGCATTCCCACCCACAGTCCAGACCAAAGACTTGCTCACTGCAGAACTGAAAACCGAGAACGCTGAGCCATGCAAAGGCTCTGCACCTCTGTTGCTCAGCTCCTGCTTCGTGGCTTCAACCCTATTGAAGATTTGATGAGCCTTCAGCTCATCAGACTGGAAAGCCTTGCTAAGCTCCTCACATGGCCCTAGCAAATCACGGAGGACACAACGTGCCAGCATTTGCACATCGGATAACTTGCTGTACACACCGGCACCCTTGGCCCAGTCACCCTTGTACTTTGCTAAAAACCGCAGTAAGGTATGCGAGTTTCCACAAAGCACAACAATGCACGCCATGCGGCTGAACCAACAGGTGGCATTGAAAGCAGGGAACTTAAGCCGCATGCAGCCATTCTCCTTCGCAAACGCCTCCCATTTCCCTTGCATCTTGGAAGACTTGGCAAACAACGCATGCACTGACTTCATTGTCTGCCATCGCTGGATGTTACAGACCAGAAGCTATAAAAGTATTATGAAAAGTGTAGTTAAATATTGCAATATGAATTATGTCTGCCAAGTGTGTGGCCTTATCCTTTATATGGTCCGTCCTCTCCCTTACAGGGCCCCGTACAGCCTCTTATAAATCCTCAAAATCCTTACGGGAGCCACCGTAACCGGCCGAAGGCCGGTCCGGGGGCGGCCCTGTACGGGACGCTTCACGCCCCAAAATCCTTAGGGGGTCCACGGAAAAGTCCGAAGGGCCCTGACGGGGATACCGAAAAAAGGCCAAAAACTTACGGGCCCTGTATGGGGTGTCGAACCCTGACCCACAGCAGGAGGAAAAGGAGGAGGAGGTTAGGAAGGTACAGTTGCAGACAGCGTCAAGGTCACCTGCAAAACACAGGAGGAATGGTAACAAAGCAGCCAGGAAACCGTTGGCAGTGCATGCCGCTGGCTAGGGGAAAAGCGGGGTTGCAAGCAGGGTGGCCAATCAGACAATGAGCAACCAAGCTTGTGAGGTGTTAGGAGAGCATGTGAGGTGTGTTAGGAGAGCGCGTGCAGTGGTCACAGGACTACTGCAGCACCCACGGGTCAACAGTAGTGTTCCTTGCCGTGCCGAACTGGGCAGGTGTGGGGATGCAGAGGAGCACGTGCTGTGAGCTTTTTCCCGTGTAGAGAGGACCGTTAGAGGGGCGACCAAGACAACCCAACCAGGCACCAAGAGGGCAGGCAAACGGAACAAGGGGTCAGAGTGCAGCACCTGTCGAATTCCAGGCATGATGCTTGTCCGAACAGCTGGAGTCATCATGGGGACTGCAGCCAGCCAACAGGGCCGGGCCGCAATGCCACTGGCATGTACATCCCTGCTTCCCATGCAACTGCGTCGATCACGGCCCCGGTGCTCCATCTACCTGCAGGTCCGGGACCACCGCTGCAACAGCCGCGGCAGCAAGACCAATTTTGAGCGGGACGACAGGGCTCAGACTGACGTCAAGGTTGGGCTTCGCTGGTTCCACAGGTTGCTGCGCAACATCCTCTGTCACGCCCCCATCCTGGATCAGCAGAAGTTCCTGGATGCCTACCCGCCAGAGATGGCTGCATTTCATAGCAGTGGTCGCATCAGCAAGGTGCTGACCGCGACCTATGAAAGCCCGAAGCCCAGGTGCAGCGGTGGCGGCAGCAGCAGCGGCCAGCATGGCGGCAGCAGTGGCGGCCAGCGTGGCGGCAGCAGCGGCGCCCAGCGTGGAGGCAGCAGCGGCGCCCAGCGTGGAGGCAGCAGCGGCACCCAGCGTGGAGGCAGCAGCGGCGCCCAGTGTGGCGGCAGCAGCGGCGCCCAGCGTGGCGGCAGCAGCGGCGCCCAGCGTGGCGGCAGCAGCGGCGCCCAGCGTGGCGGCAGCAGCGGCACCCCGCGTGGAGGCAGCAGCGGCGCCCAGCGTGGCAGCAGCAGCGGCACCCAGCGTGGAGGCAGCAGCGGCGCCCAGCGTGGCGGCAGCAGCGGCGCCCGGTGTGGCGGCAGCAGTGGTGAGGGGGGCGCGGTGCAACTGCAATGGCTGGCAAATGCACACCTGTGCACCTGGCCCCAGTGGCAGGCTGTGGTCAGTTCAGGCCGCTGGTTCACACCACCGGCAGGCATGGGGTGTGGGGCCAGGGAGGGCTCCAGGCAGCCACACTTGCACCACACCTGCATGTGCAGCACTCCTCTTTGCACCATCTGCAGCAATAGGGCTGCAG